AAAACATGGTTATACATTTTTGACATTTTGCTAGTTAAAAATTTCTGACACCCCCAAAAGGTCGTAATTAGTTATTTCACATGCACAAAGGCCTAACTGATAATCCTGTATAGATATCATGTAGTTATACCTCCAAAAAATTTTTTGACACATTTTGATATCGTTTTTACTCCACTGAAATAATATGGGAAATATTCAGATGTGATATACACTGAATGCGTCCGACCAAAAATCAGGCGGTGGGGGATCGTGAACGGACCGCCTTCCACAGCACACCCGCTCTACCCGACCCCTGAGACCGACCCGAGCGGTGTAGCGCAAATGAACTCTTAAGAGCCATAGAAACAGATGCTGCAACGGCTGACTGGATTGTAAAAGCAGCATGCTGCCTACACAACTATATTATTACAAAAAACAATACTAAAGAATATGTAGATATGGAAACAGAGGAACAAGATGAACCAATACGAGCGCTACTAAACACAAGACCGACCAACAGAAGATCGAATACTGCTGCGTTTGAAGTACGAGAAAAATTCGCCGATTACTTCAGCAGTTTATAAACCATGTATCTTTATTTATTTTATTTTAATATTATCATATTGTATTTTTTAATTTATAAATAAAATGTACTCACCAGTCATGTTGAGAGTTTTTGCTATTTCGTTCCATGCTTCACTTTTCTTCAACATATTCTTATAATGTTCATGTGTAGTGTCATACAAAAAACAACACATAGCTTCTCACAGTTTCTATAAATATTTCATTATTTTCCGACATTTTTAATTTCATTGATGGATGTAAACATAGAAAATAACCTAAGATGTAAATATAATATATATCGCGCGATAATTTGTAAATTTGTACAAGTGTATCGCTTGTCGTCGCGATCTAACCTTGCCCGCCGCGGTAGACCGCTTTCAGTGTGCCCATCCTCGTACATTTTTGTGTAATACAAAATTGCTGCGGTCAAATATCGCTGCCCGCCGCGACAGATCGCGTTCTGTGTGCCAAAGCCTTAAAATAAATTAAGCTGCACGCTACTGACTCAAAGCTGCCGTAACTGTACGTTGTCGATGACAAAGACTACGACTGACTACGACACTGGTTAATTTCTGTCGCTGGTACCCATAATGGCGGCGTGCGCAAGGGTATGCGCGTAGCGTTCCCGCCAAAGCGAGTTGGCCTGCCGTGTGATTTATATGCCGTGGTATTACCATTGATTGAAAGAATTGGGAAGATAGGTAACCTAACGGGCGAATTCGTAACAAGGCTGATTTGATTTTCCCTTATGTCTCCAGTAGTGTTGTACGGTGGAGACCCCAATCGTTCTGCAGCCAACGCATAAAACACTTATTTTCTCTAATTCGGCCAGCGAAGACATATCGAAGACGGTGAGGAACTGCAAGCGACAGACAGTGTTGCCATATTAAAATGTGTAATATCTGTAATACGTTAGAACTACGGTACAGTATTCTTTATCCGCTGGCGCTGCAAACGACTCACAGCGCAAATCCGAGATTTAATTTAAATCAGCGCACAGCGGCGCAGATTTAAACTAAATCTCGGACAGGCTGACGGTAACGCCAGCTACATCTCGGACAGGTTTTGTGCCACGAAATTGCCCATAAGTTTGCGCATCTTCTTATTTCTTCAATCAACGATAATATAAAAACTGTGTTACACGTGTTCTGCTCATACGAGCATCATCAGACAAAAAATTAAAATCAGAACAAACACACGGTTACATTATAAATATTAAAACAACACTTCAGTACACGTGTAACATGGTGAAAAAAAAATAGAGTGTAACATAAACATAAATGTATGAGACCGAGACTTGTTGTCTTTTTTCTTCTTAAAATTAGTTATGTTTATCAGCGTAAACATTATATTAAAACCTTTACAATAGCATTTTAAATACTAAGTTAAATAATGATTTATTAAATTTTATTTGAGAGAAGTTAGATTTAAAACAAAAAAATGCATTTAAAATTTAAATACTAATATACATAGTCGTTTCTTGAAAAAAAGATTCATTGAAACAAACCGTATTGTAAGCAATGAATCAATTCTCAGGATTATTTGAACGAACGAACCGTAGAAACGAACCAGTCGCATTGTGATCGGATTCAATTCTTACGACTCGTTCGTTCCAATTTTATGAATCCGTGCTGGCCACGATTCAAGTCGACGAACCGTATTGTAATCAATGAATCAATTCTCACGACTCTTTGAACGAACGAGCTATAGAAACTAGAAACGAACGAGTTGCATTGTGATCCGATTCGATTTTTACGACTCGTTTATTCAAATTTTATGGATCCGAGACGGCCACGATTCAACTGAACGAACCGTATTGTAAGCAATAAATCAATTCTCACGACTCTTTGAACGAACGAGCTGTAGAAACAAATGAGTCGCATTGTGATCCGATTCTATTCTTACGACTGGTTTGTTCAAATTTTATAGATCCGTGGCGGCCACGATTCAATTAAACGAACCGCATTGTAAGCAATGAATCAATTCTCAGGATTATTTATTTGAACGAACGAGTCGTAGAAATGAACGAGTCGCATTGTGATCGGATTCAATTCTTACGACTCTTCTTTATGCTCGTTCGTTCTAATTCTACGGAACCGCACTAGCCACGATTCAATTGAACGAATCGTATTGTAAGCATACATATCTCTTCTTCTTCTTCGTCGTCTCTTCATTGGCGATCTTCCGCCTCTCGGAGATTTGATTGAAATGGCTGACCTGTAATATCTGCTATTTGGTCAAGCCATCTCGATGCATACATATACATACTACCATTACTCGCTGACGAGTATGCGACACGCATCAAAAGATGGTCACGCAAGGGGTTTTCTTTCATGAGCTTTTCTGTGACTGAAAAGCCCGATACGTGATGTTATTTGCCTACCGCACTCCGGACATTCAAAAATCTCATTGCTTTGTTGCCTCTTTACTTTTTGGTTTTCGCTGTTAACTGAGTTTACAATTCTTCTCCATTGAGTTCTATTGTGAACTGCTTCTTCCCAATGATTCCGCTTGTTAAACCTCTTTAAGTTTTCGTGGAAAGTATGTTGGAAGCGTTTTTGTGGGAAGTATGATGGAAGCGTTTTCGTGGAAAGTATGTTGAAAGTATGTTGTTAGCTTCGTGGAAAGTATGTTTCGTGGAGTCTATGTTTCGTGCCTTATTGTAAGCAATGAATCAATTGAACGACTCGTTCAATCTTTGCCCGCCTCTAATTACATCGTTGGACAGTCGTATATAGGCTTTACGGTCATTATAACCGATCGTATAGGCTTTACAGTCATTTGCACAAAAATCTGCGTACCTGCCTAGTTTCTATAAGTTTCTATAAACTATAGTCTATTCGGAATTAACTTATTATTATTTTTTACGAACCGTATTACATTACGCATATATATTTTATGAACATCTAATAATATGTACCACACAATGGTACAATTCAGTGATCATCTAATAATTGTACCACAAAAATTACACGTTAAGTTAATTTTATAACCTTAAATATAAAATTACGTCATAAAGATAAACATACAAAAACAACAAATGACCAATAGAGATTTTTGTGCAAGAGATTTTCTAACCGTAGAGACTTCGAAAAAAAATTATTACTAAAGTGGTCATGAAAAATTGCTGGAAATTATTTTCAGGCTTGTAGAATTGCCGCTAGAAATAGGGCAACTGCTATAGCAAATAAGAAAATGGAATTTTTAATAAATTTTGCCTATATGAAGGGTAGTATAAATAGTGGCCTTAATAACAGAAAAGGAAGAAGAACTGGTAGAAATGCTGGAAGAACTGGATAACAGTTAGAAGAATAGGCCTAAATATGAACTACACTAAAACTAAAATCATAACAAACACAGCTGAAAACATAACAACCAGAATAAACCAAGAAAAAATAGAACAAGTTGAAGAGTATATATATCTAGGATAAAAAACTGAAAAAAGAGAACCAAACAGTTGAAATAAAGAGACGAGTAAGACTGGCCTGGGCAGCATTTGGAAAATTAAATTACATATTAAAAAACAAAAGATACCCATAGTACCTCAAAACCGAAGTATATAATCAATGTGTACTCCCTGTACTAACTTACGGATCCCAGACCTAGACACTGACAAAATCAAATATGGATAAGGTAGCAATATCTCATCTATGGAAAGAAAAATGCTACATGTAAGGCTGGCAAATAGAAAAAGGAATGAGTGGATCAGAGGAAAAACAAAAGTAAGAGATGTTAGAAGTGAAGTAGCAAAATTGAAGTGGAAGTTTGCCGGTCACAATGTCAGACGGAAGGATGATCGATGGAACAAATGCATCGTAAACTGGAGGCCCTGGGAGAATAGAAGAAGTCGAGGAAGACCTCAGATGAGATGGGCGGACGATCTGAGGAAACATGCAGGCACAAGATGGATGAGCACGGCGACAAAGAGGGAAGAGTGGAAGAGATTGGGGGAGACCTATGTCCAACGGTGGACCGAATAGATAGAGATAAATAGTGGCGTCATAATCTTCAGCGAATTTCATTTTTTTGTTGATGATAATACCCCTTTTATTTGCCGTAAAAAACTGTTTTGTATAAATTCCATTTTCTTATATAGCAGTTGCCATAATAGTTGCATCATATAGCAGTCGTTCTACCAAATTTGAAAAAAATATAATTTCCAGTAATTTCTTCTCATTAGTGATAAATATTGTTTTCCTCAGGCTCAGCTATTCTTAATGGAAGACTCTGTACAAGCGCTGATTTGATCAGGCGTAAATTAAATCCGAACGAGAGAAGTTTAGGTAGTTACTTTGTATTTACTTAGAGATTCAAAAATATATGTGCATTTGTATACAACTGCTATCTGTAGTCTCCACGATTCTACTATATCTTATAAAAATACTTTAAGTAAACTTCAATACAAAATTAAGCAAATAACAACCATATAAATAAACCTACTTCTTCAAATAAAAATTGACGATAAGAAAAATAATATTCTTAGCCCTCATGTTTATTTTAGTAGCGCTAGCTTTCTTGAACATCAGAGATTGTGATCATAGATTAAATGTAGCAGGTTTGCTGTAAAAATAAGTCCTTATTTTTATTGTATATAAGTAGTAAAAAAATATGAAAGTGGCAATAATTGGTGGTGGTCCAGCTGGCCTTGCCGCAGTAAAGCATTGTTTGGAACAAAATATCGAATGTACCGCTTTTGAGCAAACGGAAAATATAGGAGGAACGTGGATTTACACCGACAAGATAAAAGAAGATGAAAATGGAGTACCGGTTCATACAGCAATGTACCAGGGATTGCGGTAAAATTAAAAAAATATATTATTTAAAGATACACAATCAACAAAAATCCAAAATACAGGAATAATCGGCCTAATTGAATAATATTTATTAACATTAATGAATGTTTGTTAATTTACATTAAATTTTGACTTAATATACTAATATATACTTAATATACTGATAGTGACACTGATTTAGGTATTTGATTATTTGGGAAATGTATTTTCTTGTTTTTTGTTTGGATTTAATCAGTGGCGCATCTGGAGATTGAGTCTGGGAGGGGTAGTGTGAATATTCAAAAAAGTACTAAATTTGAATTAAATTTTTGCTGGAAGGTATTGTAACTGTGGAAAAAAATCTACTTGGATTGGTTTGGATATTCAGTTTTAATTTGTATTATTAACTTTTTTGTAACAATTTTATTTTATACCAAATTTTATCTTATTAATTAATTTCTTTCTTTCTGGGAGGGGTAATTACCCCCATTACCCCTCCCGTATATGCGCCCCTGGATTTAATAAAAGTATATTCGTATTTACAGCAGCGCGTACGGTTCTACGGTCTATGGAAGCGGGGAAGCGCCGCTACCATATACAGGGTTGTTCACCACATACGACACGGAGTATTGTAGCTAAACGATTAGATCTTTACAAATTGTAAGTTTTGGGTTCGTTCAGGACTATTAGAGCTATAATTTAAAAATAATTTGACTAGATGCAGAGTGTCCCAAACAATTAAAAAATATTATAGTTGTATTTTTTTATATGGTAGCCCTGTATATTATTCTATTTTTAGATTCTACGATTGAAATAAAGGTAAATTTGATTGAGGTTTATCACACTGAAACCTTACCGTTTCTGAAATATTTTCATTTTTGTGAAATTGAAGTAAAAAATTTAAGGCTTCATTTCTCCAAGGGTATCAAAGTTTTGAATACTAAATATTTACTGAAGTTTATTTATTGATCAGATATTGTGCTGCAATAATAAAAATTATACTACCTTATACAGAGTATCCAAAAATTTATATTAAATAATTACTAGCTTTAAACTACAATAACTTGTTTAATTTAAGTGGACCACCCTGTATATTTGCTGTAAGTCATTTAGGTAAATTAAAACAATATTTGTTATTTTAATAATATTAAAATAAAACCTAAACATTTGCCTAAACCTTACGAAACTATCAGACAAAAAGAAAATAAAGGAAATTAATAAATATAAACTTACCACCCAAGCCATTTTTGACGATATAGGCGTGAGATGTTTAATACGGATGTTTTTCTATATGTATCATCTCTCACAAAGCTTTATTAAAATAGTTTTATACATAATAACTATATTATTTTAAATATTTTAGTACAAATTTACCCACTCGGCTTATGGAGTTTGAAAACTTTCCTCACATTCCCAAAGACAACTTTTATATCACACAACCAGAAGTTTTGGAGTATATTAAGTCTTACGCTAACCACTTTAACTTATTACCTCACATAAAAGTAAGTTTTTGTCTGGAAACTTTGCGTACTTTGAATGAGTGCAAGGATATAATATTAAAACTTCAGTGACAAACACGAAAAAAGCACAAAGCATACCTTAAAATTTTTATGTACCTATTTTAAATTCAATATATTTTATTTTACTGGGCCGATTTGGATGATTTTTGAAGCAATGTGTAGCTAAATTATTCAACTATTTAGACTTAAAGGCATCATCTGTCTATTATGCCAGGAAAAACAAAATCAATACAAAATACAAGCAGCGTACAAGTGAGACGCGCGTAACATTATTATAAGTACATATTTATATGGCAGCATCTAAGTGTACAGGGTGTCCCATTTTAGTTGAAATCATACGGTATCTCCGTTATTAGTGAAGATAGAATGGTGTGGTTTGCACATACCTGTCCCACTTTTTTGTCAAATGAAAAATGCCGTAAACAACATTTTCATAGCCCTCTTCGTTTCTGAGCTACAGGGTCTTTTTGAAAATGTTGCAATCTGGGATACCCCCTGTATCTCTGTTATTGTTAAAGGTATCGAGAAGGTGAAAACTGTTTATTGTGGAACTTTTTACTTAGAATATAACGGCGTAGTCTGTTATTCTACGAAAAGAATATTTTTAAAGATATGAATTAAAGTTATATTTTCTTAAATGGAACACCCTGTATATTTATAAATTATATGATCTAGCTTGCCATAAGCTTCTCAAAAATATATATATCGCTCTATATTTATTTTCACTATTTACTGCAATATTTAAAAGTTTTTATTAAAAGATCATATTTATTAGTATGCCATGATTGATAATAAAAAAACTAAAGAATTATTAAAAGTATACTGCTATCTGTCTCTTGTTTTATTTTGGGAGCCACTAATAAATTCTTTAAATATCAGGGAAACTTAATTAACTCTCTACTGCTACTGCTATCGTGCCGAAACTTTTAGATATTCTTTTAGCTAATTTACGTGAAATATACTTCAAGCAAGCTGGGGTTCCCCCTCACAACTTTGAAAATATTAGAATTTTGTTAAATTATTATTTCTCAAATCAATATTGGAATCAATGATGGCCTTCCTGATTCCCGAATTTATCCGTTCTCGATATCTGATTTTGGGGATTTTTGAAATATGAAATATATCGTGGCAACTACAATAATGTCGAACACCTGGAAAAATCTTAATAACGTGAGCTAATAATGCAAGCTTTTAGATATTTGCAAACCCATCCCGTTATAAGAAATTCTGTTATAATCATACACCGTCTGATTGAAAAGACGGCGTCAAGTTACCTTAGAAATACCGACACGAGCTTATACACCCAGTGGTTTGCGGCATAGTTGGTTTGCGGCGCAATTAACATCCATCTGTAAGAGTTTTAAGGAATTTTGCACTCTAAAAGGAAAATCCGGGATAACAATTAATCTAACCTATAAAGTTGGTGGGACGAAAAAAGGAAAAACCATGGGGACTTGTTTCAAATGCAAGAGAAGCTGTGTCTACGTGGATGTCACAAAGGATAAGAACATTAAGGACTTATTTGGAGGCCCCTGCGATCTATGCAGGAATACCCTATGTAGAGACTGCTCTAAGATGACATCAAGTGACATCAGGGCTTTAATGACCCAGTCTCGCACTGTTATGTTTTTTTGTGAGGATTGTATCTGCACCATAAAGCAGATAAGTACTTTGCAGAAGAGCTTCAGGGATCTCCAGGAAAACTGTAGTGTCTTAAACAAGGATCTCTGTGATGTAAAGCAGGAATTCCAGCAAATTAAATCGGTGGCTGAATCGGCTCCGAAGTCATATGCCCAGGCCCTAGCAAATAGTACTAATGCCCTAAATAAAGAAATTGCCAGCATTAGGGCTTCAGCGGAGTTTATCTCAAAGTGCCATGATGATCAAAAGAAGCAGCTCGAAGCCACCTCAGATTTGTTGAAAGCACACAACAAGGAAAACATCAACTTAAAACAAGACATCAAATTACTTGAAAGCAAGGTAAACACATCCTTACTAAAGGAGAAGGAATGTAATGTAATTATCACGGGCCTTAAATATCGACAAAATGCTAATGTAACTGATATGGCTAGGACTATTTTTGATCACTTAAGTCTTGACAGTCTTCAAATAAAACAGTGCAATGCCCTTAATAAAAGGGAGAATTCCCCTATTATGGTCAAACTAAACAACAAGGCGGATAAAACTACTTTGTTTAAAAGACGCAAGGAGATTGGCAAGATCACGGCGGAGTCATGTGGACTACAGGGAAGTAACATCTACTTCAACGAGGACCTCACTGTTGAAAATCAAAAATTATTTAAGCTTGCTCGTGATGCCAGGAAGCAAAAATTAGTACAAAGTGCCTACACCTTTAATGGCTCTGTTTATGTGAAAAAAACACCCACATCAGAGTCCCTAAAAGTCCTAAATGCAGAGAGTCTGAAATTTTGTAACTTCCAGCTGCACATAAGTTTTTCTTCATATCTGTGCTGTTTTTATACTTAAGGGATCCCCATCAGGATGGCTTTCTCACTTTTGTGTAATGTTCAAAATATACAAGGTTGTCGAACCAAGTTGAAGGAACTTAGACTCTCTTATGACGGCTGCCCTTATGATGTTACCTTTGTTACGGAATCCTGGTTGAACGATTCTGTGATGGACAATGAAATTATCAATACAGGGGTGTACTCTTTATTTCGACGGGATAGGATAACTACATGTTCCAAGAAAAGTGATGGTGGTGGTGTTTTCATAGTGATCAAAAACAAATTTAACCCCATTCTACTTGAGGAGTTTCACAGTGATGGAGAAGACATTTGGGTGCTTTTAACGGTTGGTAACTTTAAGATTTATCTGTGCTGTGTCTATTTGCCGCACCACGAAGATGTTAATTATACATGCTTTTTAACTAAATTAAAACTAAACCTAGATAAATTAAAAAACTGCCCTATCTTAATTTGTGGTGACTTCAATTATACTACAGTCAATTGGTTTGAAAACAATGGTCACTTGGAACCATTTAATGTACCCCCAAAATATTGCGACTTGCTGGAGACTCTTTCTCATTATAGTTTTATGCAGTTCAATAATGTCCAGAATACAAATAATAGACTTTTAGACCTAGTGTTTTCTAACAATTTTTATATAAGCAATTTGGTTCGGTCGGACCATCCTCTGTTGTCTGTGAATGTGGATCACCCCTCTTTAGAGTACCTTTTTAACTGTCCTGATTGCAACTTAAAGGAAAAGCTTAACATGAAATATGTGAGAAACTTTAACCAGGCCAATTATATCAACATAAATGCTGAGCTGGATTCTCTCAGCTGGCGACACTTGCTCAACTGTAAAAATATTAATGAGAATGTCAAAGTATTTTATGAAACTTTGAACAAAACCATACAAAACAATGTCCCCCTAAAAAGAATAAATAATAAATTTCCACCTTATTTCTCTCAAAATACTATTAAACTTATTCTAAGAAAAAATAAAATACACAAAAAATGGAAAATTAGCAAAGACGAAAGTCTTTACAATGCTTTTAGATTATTGCGCTCACAGAGTAGAAGATGCATTAATAGTGACTATCAATCTTATGTATCCACTATAGAGAATGAAATACCTAACAACAATAAAAAATTTTGGCAATTTGTGTCAAAAAAGAGGTCAAATACGGGGACTCCAGGGGAGATGAGGTTTGGGAATCGGGTAGCGAGGGATGGAGCCGAGATCTGTGAGTTGTTTTGCGATTTTTTTCAGAGTGTGTATGTACCAAGGTCGCTAGCAATAAAGAGGTCTCAAAGGTATTGTCAAACCAGTAATAAGTCATTGTCTAGTGTGTTGTTAACCGTAGATGAGGTCCAAAAAGTTCTCGAGGGGCTAGATGAAAAAAAAGGGGCGGGCCCTGATAACATCCCAGCCATATTCGCAAAAAAATGCTCGGCTTCGCTTTGCATACCACTAACACTTCTTTTTAACCAGTCTCTCTCTTCTGGAGTGTTCCCAGACACATGGAAAGTTTCTGCCATCACGCCCATCTATAAGAACGGCAAGAAGTGCGACGTCAAGAATTATAGGCCCATCAGCAAATTATGTACCTTCTCCAAACTTTTTGAAAAGCTAGTCTACCCATATATTTTCAATTTTGTAATCGCTGATATTATACCGAGCAGTATGGTTTTCTTAAAAAGGAATCTAGAACTAAATCTCATGGAATACTCAACATACATATATGAAGCATTTGACTCGTTTTGTCAAGTTGATGTCATATTTACAGATTTCAGCAAAGCATTTGATAAGATCAGCCATGAAATTATGATTCAGGTGCTGGGGAGATGGGAGTCTGTGGAGATCTGCTGAGATGCTTTGAGTCCTATTTGCTCAATAGATCTATGTTTGTGGCGCTTTTGGGCTTTTGCTCGGGTACATTCTCCCCGTCATCGGGGGTTCCACAGGGTTCTCACCTCGGCCCCCTTCTCTTTGTAATGTATATTAATTGTATAACGCTATGTTTTGATAACTGCCTGTTCCTTTGCTACGCTGATGATCTGAAGATCTTTCTCAGAGTTAATTCCATGTCAGATTGTGAAATTCTACAAGCTAGTCTTGAGAGGCTGATCGAGTTTTGCAATGAAAATCAGTTATTTTTGAATCCTGACAAATGTTCTGTGTTGTCGTTCTCTCGGGCATCTACAATCATTAACTATAATTATAAACTTGGGAGTTCTGTTTTAAACAGAGTTACCCATATAAAAGATCTAGGGATTCTGTTTGACTCTAAAATGACTTTTCAACTCCATATTGACAAACTGGTTAATGATTGTAATAGGACCCTTGGATACATTAAAAGACAATGTGTTGATTTCAATAACTCCAAAACGATTTTGACTCTGTATTACTCATATGTATTTAGTAAACTACAATTCGCATCTGTCATATGGAGCCCTGTATATAGAAATAACGTTGAGAGACTGGAAAAAATACAAAGAAATTTTTTGAGATTCCTTGGCTATAAATCGCACTTCCACGTAGCACATCATGATTACTCAGAGATACGGCGGCGCTTCAAAATTCTTGAATTGGAAAAGAGACGTACTCTATCTGACATTTTAACTTTGTTTAAGATCATTAATAATCTGTCTAGCTCTCCAAATATCCTATCGAGAGTTAAGATTAATGTGCCTGTCCGTGCGCTGAGGGGTCATGACCTCTTTTGGTTCCATATTGTAGGACCAATTATTACCAGAATGCACCATTGGTGAGGATGGTTAGGGCTGCTAACTTGTATTGTTCTGATTCTGAACTAGATTTTTCAATCAAAATCTACTAACCTTTAAGAATAGGCTTAAGTTGAAATTGTTAGAGTAGACCGATCTCCTGTCCTGTGATACTGTGTATATATAGACTACAGTGACCTGTAAAACGCACTACCTCTATGCTTTGTATTAATTAATTAAGAAATCTAAATATATTGTAGATGTTACTTGTTTTATAACTTATAATATTGTTAATGGAAAATTATTGTAAACTGTAATATCAGGATACTAGTTTTGGACTTTTGTTCCGTTTGTATCCTAAAGACTGAAATAAATAAATAAATAAATAAAAAGGAAAAATATATTCAGAGATTCATTGGTAACAGTTCAAAAGTAAAATACTATATCAATCCCAAATAAAAGTTTAATATGTGTACGACTATTTTAGTAAATATCATTTTTATTTTTTTTTGTTATTTATCATGGCCTACTAATAAAAAAATGATGTATTTTAAATATTGCAGTAAATAGTGAAAATAAATATAGAATAATATATATTTTCGAAAACCTCATAGCAACACCGATTATATGATTTATAAATATACAGGCTGTTCCATTTAAAAAAACATAAGTTCATATTTTCAAAAATATTTTTTTCCGCAGGGAAACAGACTACGCCACTGTATTCTACGTAAAAAGTTCTACAAGAATCACTTTCCACCTTCTCGATATCATCCACAATAACGGAGATACGGGGGCTGCCCCAAATCGAAAGAGCTCAGACACGAAGAGGGCTATGAAAATTTTGTTTACAGCATCTTTCGTTTGACAAAAAACTGTGACAGGTTTGTGCAAACCGCATCCTCCTATCTTTACTAATAATGGAGATACCGTATGATTTCAACTAAATTGGGACACCCTGTACTTAGTCTAAGTAACTTTGACCGTGTCATTCCGCCTTTAAGGCCTGGTTGACACCGTCAAAGTGTACTTGGAACAAATACACTTTATGTCTCTATGTACTTGGAACAAATACACTTTGGATTGGACTCGGATTTAAAATCAATTGATACGATCTAAACAGCGTCCAAGTGTGTTTCATCCAAGTACACTTGCCGTGTTAGCCAGGCTTTAACGATTTACAGCAATTTTATCATTAAAAGCATGCCTTTGCTTTTAATCCTCATTAATACACCTATAAAATAGTGATTATTGTTTTTGTTATATTACTGTCCTTGAAAAGGTATATTATTATTGTTTGTTGGCAGTTGCTCCAGCAAGGATAGTTTGATGGTTCTTCAAATAGTCGATCTCTAAGTAAGTATTCTCATTTAAAGTAAGAATAGCCAATTCAACTTCCGGACTTAAAACCCCGTCTGCTGGAATAACTCCAACAAACGTGATGATGATTAGGGCTAGATTATCATTAATTATTACTCTCTTCCTCAAAAGCGAATATATTTAACAAAAGAAAAGAAAAGCTATTTAGTTGAGTTAAAAAACAAACTATTGAGAAAATATATACCTTGAGGATTAAGTAGTTTTTAAATGCCTTACTTAATGCATTCCACAGGTTATTTCAAATTATAATAGCCCGATAAAATTTTTAATTTTTAATCTTAAATTAAAAAGAGTCTAAAAAGTAATTTAGCTTTACGTTAAAATTATAAAAATCAGCTCACTAAAACAAAACATATTATATTGAACTTTAAAATACATGAAAATCTTAAAGTCATCGTTTTTCGTAGTCAGAAGTTAGTACCAACAAGCCAACTTTTAGCCGAAGTTTGCATATATATAAGATTAACAAAATTTTAGTTTAAAAGACGGCCGGCTGGTACTTATTAGGTTGTGGTCTTGCCAAAGTTATACAAAATTATACTGATAAATAGGCTGTATCAGTAAATTTTCCTTTTAGTTATGCCATCAAGTAATAAATGTAGATCCTCGTCCAAATGAAAAATGGTCACTATTAGTGAGAAACGTTAAAACAAAGAAAGTTGAAGAGCATACGTATGACGGTGTGATCGTATGCAATGGCCATTATACAAGTCCGTACATGCCATCTATACCGGGTATGGAACATTTTAATGGGAAAAGTATACACTGCAAGCAATACCGAAAACCAAACATCTATGCCGGTAAAAAAGTGTTAGTTATTGGTGGAGGCCCCTCTGGACTTGATATATCAACTCTCCTGAACGGGATAGCTAAAAAAGTAAGTTTGAATTAATACGAATATTAGTTAATATTATTTTTTTATATAATCCAAGATAATAACAATCCAAGATAAACAAAATCCAAGTATTGTAACGTTTTTCGTTCGTTACATGTCTTTTTTATATATAATATATGATGTCTGGGCCTATCATCACCAGATTCCCTCTCGTTCAGGCCTGATAGTTTATTTGACGCGTAATTTTTACGTTCCCTGGTCGCCAACCCTGTTATCGTTCGACACAACCCTGTTACTATTCTGTGGAGGCGCGCGCTGTCAACATCGCTTCTGTCAACTCTCCGTGCTTAACCTCACTTTGTTTTGACGCTCTGTTGTGTCCCTGCTTTTGGAAATGGTGATTATTTAAGTCTTGCTGTATTATCTGAATCAGCTGCTATTTCGAGGCTACAGGTAAAGATGAGTTATTACCTTTTATAGATTCGATATTGTTATTGAATATTTTTAGGGTAGAGTTACGGATGTCCCAACTTGTATTTGTGTTTTACTGGCACGTTGGCGTCCCTTTTCTTTTGTCCTCCAGAATGTCACATAGAAGAAAGGACATGTTTATTATTTATTGAGCCCTCGGAAGTGTTTCGAGGTAGGTTTATTTTGTTTATTAGACCTTGTTTGGTTTTAAACAAGAGCTTCATATTTTTAGGGTCCAAGGTACGGACTATTTCTTATGTACGGACATTATCTTATGTACGGATGTCCTGTGGACGAGTGTCCCCAGTAAGAACGATTTTTTCTTACATATAAGTGCCACAGCGTGGATGTACAATGCTATTTACCATCAGAATTCATCACGAATAAATATTGTTACGTTTTTCGTCGGTTCCGTGTGGATAGAAAGTCACAATTTATTTAAACACTATTTATTTAACACTAATTAACAAAAACAATAACGATAACGATAAAAGACTTATAGAACTATTTACAAACGATTTATAACTAAGAATTTATTTTGAATTTTAGCGCGTCAACTGCACTGGTATATTTATAACTGCCCTCTCTAGGCCACTGCCGCCGGCTTTTATACCGACAGGTAAAAGAAATCTAGAATAGTCCAAAGATCGTTAGGCGCATAGAGAAGGTTTTCGAATGTTCTCGTATGTACGCGTCCATTCTAGTGGGTCTCGATTCTTCTCGAACGAATGAATCATTGCGGTGTCTATGCGATGTTAAGGTCATCCGAGGGCGGGCCATATTGTGAGGTTAGGTCGAGTCCACACCGGCTCGCAACACTGCCCCTTCTTAGGCACATGCTCGTCCCGAGATTATACGGTGAATGAAGGTATTTGCAAAGCTGGCCCCTGGTACATTGCGAAGTCTGGTAGAAATAGCAGTCTACAGTTTTCTCTCCCGATCTCAGCTTTGGGTTGTAGCAGCAAACGAGGATCTCGATTCCCGTAAATCTGAACAAGACTTCAATCATGTTCCGGATTGTACGCCAACTCAAACCATCGAGTCCACACGCCAGCTTCGGAATGGCTAATCGTGCAATGTTGTTGTTTAGCAGGGCTTCTCTCAGTTCAATCAGGGTCTTCCATAGATTGAGATAAGTCGGCTTACTCGGGGACCATTCCTTGGTGACCAGGTAGAAGATGTGCCTTGCTTGACCATGTGCATTGTCGGTTAGCCTCAAGACGCTTCCAACCTCTGGATCCTGTCGGCGTAGTTCTCCGACACGCCCAAACTTCTCATTGAACGTCGCAGCGATTCCTCTGGACATCCGCAAATCTCGAGCCACACAATGAGCGAGCGAATAATCAGGAGGCACGGAAAAGAGGTCTCGTTGATCTTCTTTGGTTACACCATAGCGAGCCTTCTCACTGCTGTTGTATCGGGCCATGAAATCGTCAAAGGACATCTCCGAATCAGGGGGATCAAAGCTGCAGGTTCTCACGGTCCCAGCACGATCTTCTATTTCGCCTTGGTAGGGGCTCAAACGGTTGAAATGGACTACCCTCGGTTTTCCTTTTGGCAATTTTCTGATACGGTATACGACGTCATTAATTCTATCCATGACTTCGTATGGCCCTTCCCACGAGGATTGTAGCTTCGGAGATAACCCACGACGTCTCTGCGGGTTATATAGCCACACCAACTTCCCTGGTTGGTATCCTCCATGCTCAGCTTGAATGTCGTAGTGTTCCTTCATTCGGTCACTAGCACTTTGAATATTTAGGCGGACTCTCTGATGAATGTCGTCCATCCTTTGACGTAGTGTGTGGACATAATCTTCTCCGGCGACTTCTTCTCCCGGTCGGCAACCAAATTTCAGATCACAGGGTAGGCGCACTTCCCGTCCCATAACGATGCTGGCTGGAGTTTGCCCTGTAGATTCTTGGACGGATGAACGGTAGGCCAACAGGAACAGGTGAAGAAATTTGTCCCAGTCTCTTTGGTGGTCAGAGACTACTTTGGCCAGATAACGGTTGATAGTTCTGTTCATGCGTTCAACCATCCCATCGGATTGTGGATGTAGAGCAGTCGTCCTGGTCTTGCGGATGTTCAGGACTTCACAGACGCCTTGGAACAGATTGGACTCAAAGTTTCTTCCCTGATCTGAATGAAGCTCCATGGGAACACCAAACCTGCAGATCCATTCTTTAACAAGGGCATCAGCAATCGTGGACGCTTCTTGATTTGGCAACGCGTAGGCCTCGACCCATTTGCTGAAGTAATCCATTACTACCACAATGTATTTGTTGCCATCGTTCGTCTCCGGGAAAGGACCAGCCACGTCGATCGCTATTCGTTCGAAGGGACTACCAACATTGTACTGGCGCATAGGGGCTTTACCACGCTTTTGTGGCCCATTAATGGCTGCGCAAATGTCACATTTCTTACACCAGGCCCTCACATCTTCTTTGCAGTTCACCCAGTAGAACCGTTCACGCACCTTGCCAAGTGTCTTGGTAACACCAAGATATCCTCCTCTGGTTCCATTGTGAACTTCCTCCAAGACTTCTGGGACCCTCTTCTTTGGAATGACGATCTGCCTTCTCTCTTCTTGTCCCTCCGGTCTCTCGATCACACGGCGAAGTAGTCCGTTATCTATTACCAAGGAATTCCACTGGGCCCAGTACGACTTTACGTTCGGCGAATATCTGCAAACTTCTTCCCACGTTGGTCTTTGGCCTGTGTTTTTCCAGTTAATTACTAAACCTAACTCTGGGTCACTGGTTTGGTCATTTGCAAGATCTTCGGATTGCCAACTATCATTAACCACAGTTGTTCTTAGGAGTTTCACTTCTTTCTCTTCTGCTCGGGAACAATGCTTACAGTCCTTAGCGCAAGGTCTTCTGGAAAGTGCGTCGGCATTTCGATGGATTGCCCCAGCTCGATGTTCTGTGTCGAAGTCAAATTCTTGTAATCGTTCAATCCATCTAGCTACCTGCCCTTCAGGATTCTTAAACTGCAACAGCCATTTCAAAGCAGCATGGTCTGTTCTTAACAAGAACTTTCTTCCATAGAGATACTTGTAGAAGTGTTCCACTGCTTTAACTACTGCTAGTAATTCTCGTCTGGTTACACAGTAGTTCCTTTCCGGTTTTGACAAGGTCTTACTAAAATAACCAATGACTTGACCATCCTGGATCTGAGACAGAACAGCGCCTAATGCAACATTGCTAGCGTCGGTATCCAATATAAAGTTTCCGTTGCCAAGAGGGTAGCTAAGTATGGGCGCACTAGTCAGGGCCTTCTTCAATTTTCGGAATGCCTCGTCAGAATCTGAGTCCCAAGAGAAACGCCTCTCGCCTTCGGTAAGTCTGGTCAATGGTTTTGCGATGGTGGCGAAACCCTGTACATAGCGTCGATAGTATGTGCATAGTCCCAAAAAGCTTCGTAGTTCATGTTTATCTTTAGGTATCGGCCACTCTTCCACTGTCTTGGTCTTCTGTGGATCTACCGCAACTCCTTGGGAGGAGACTACATGGCCCAAGTAGTGTACCTTTTCTTGACACAGATGACATTTCTTGGGGCTAAGTTTCAAACCAGAACTCCCTAGTCGCTTGAAAACTTCTTCCAAATTCTTCAAATGATGGTCAAAGGATTTCCCAACCACTATGATGTCATCCAGGTACACTAAACAGGTAGTCCAGGATAGTCCCTTTAACACAGACTCCATTAGTCTCTCAAAGGTAGCTGGCGCGTTGCACAATCCAAAAGGCATGACGGTAAATTGCCACAGTCCGGAGCCCACCGAGAACGCTGTCTTCTCTCTGTCTTTCGGCGCCATGTCGACTTGCCAATATCCACTCTTCAGATCTAACGTAGAGAATATCGTTGACCCCGCCAGTGTGTCTAGAGTATCGTCTATCCTCGGCAGGGGATAGCTATCCTTCTTGGTACCATTATTGAGCTGCCGATAATCAACACAGAATCTGGTGGTACCGTCTTTCTTCTTTACTAGTACTACCGGCGATGTCCACGGGCTGTTAGATGGTTCGATGACACCCTCTTCTTTCATTTCTCGAAGGATTTTATCAGCTTCTTCACGTTTGGCGAGCGGAAGTCTTCTCGGATTTTGTTTGATTGGTCGTGCATCTCCGGTATCAATTTTATGTTGTACTAAATTGGTACGACCTCTGTGTCCTGCTTCTCCTTTATCAAACACATCTTGATACTTGATTATCAGGTTTCCCAATTTTCTACTATTTTCGGGAGATAATCCCTTAACGTTTACTAACTCCTTCACCATTTTGTCCGGAATTTTTGAAGTCGAAACTTTGGAGGCTTCCACGCTTCGAATGACTGAGGAGACCGAACAACAGTACCCTAACAGGGTTCCCTTCTTCAAGGATACAGAATAATAATTCGTATTCATTACTCTCACCGGTACAGTTTTCTTCGCTCGTAGCAGGGCTTTTCCAACAGCGATCCCTCGTCCTATTTCGCTGTCATGGTTCCTTGGCTCCAACAGAATAATACTCCCATTATTCATTTTACCTTCCAGGCAACCATCCAAAAATACCTCACAGCGCTCAGGG